CTTCTGAGGCCACTTATCAACTGTTATCACTTTCTTTCTCCCATCAATTGTTTCTGTCCCACCCATATTTCACTCTGGAACAACATTCCCATTGCTGCTACAACACCGCTATGTCATGAGTGGCGTTCCACTTCTGATGCCCCTTACTAGCTCATACCGGCTGTCATCCATTTCTGCCATCCAGCAATGTTACCGTCCCACCCGGTATATAACGTCAACTTGAAAAACCAAAAAATGCTAAATCAAAAAATCTTCCGGTCAAGCGCACATACATGCATACCAGTGGACACAAGCGTGACTTGGGAAATCGTCTGAATGAGTCTTACGTCTAATGAGTCTAATGATAAGTGGGTTAGGAGAATGAGCCTCCTAACCCACTTATCATTAGAGCGCGGCTTGTAGAGAGAGATACTCGTAATCCATAGGATCGGGTAGGCGTGGCTGCGTACTTAATTTTAAATGGCGGCGGCCAGGTTTTCGTGAGATATTTTCATTTTGGAACAGTCGTAATCATGTCTACATCTAACACAGAACAAGATGGCAGTTGTTTCAAATTGAAGTATCCCACGAGTAACCCGTCCTATGCCATGCTCAATAGCCACGCCTACCCCGTCTCAGGGATAAGGAGTGTACTATTCATCGCGTGTCCTCTTCTATTAGCATTTGCCGCGATTGTAGGTTGGAACTCAAGCTGGTGCGCAAAACCAATACGTGTCACTCGCCATAAAATCGCTCCTGAAAATCGTGCAGGGTTACCATTCCAAATTATAGCAGTTCTGAAGCATTTTGCGTATGGCTGGGGTCACATCCTGAACAGCAACACTGCTCATGCTGCAGGTGACACAAGCTTCAACTCCACTTAGAGTAAAAAAAACAAATCAATAATGCAACAATGGTATCTTTTCCCATCCTGCTAACCACTGGAGGAGAAAAGCTTAGAGATTCCGCGTATCACGCCTTGACGGCAGTTGGCACGATGGTTTCCTACTCGGCCTAAAATGCTAGTAGGGCGCTATATAGTGGGGAAATGGCGAAAGAACGGAGTGAAACGGTCAAAATCCTGCGAAGAAAAAGCCTCCGTTCTCAGTGACTTGGGACGAGTTTCCCGTAGGCATCTTGCCAATCACCGCTACCGAAGATACGGCTGCATATGTGTACCCATGTATGCATGCAGCATCACGGCCGCTTCATACCAATCCCTTCGCTTCATAATTTGCTTAGCAAATGAATGAATACGAGCGTCAGGAACGGTCGTCCATTTGTGGGCGGGCGGGCGTGGCGGGCGTCCGGGTCGGAATGCTTGTGGCTCGATAGGACCCCAACAAGGGTACCTTCCTAGGAAAAACCACTACACAGCGCCTGCGCAGGGTCGCGGAATTCTGCCCTGCCAGGCGTATCAATCCTACTCGTCTTTAGGGATTTATCGTGCTAACTGCCTTTAATGTAGTACTCTGTCTTAAAAGCAGGGTCCGCGATAAAAGCCAGGTGATGTTGCAGAAATATGGAAGAAAGAACTCAAGTGAAGCCGCCCTATAAAAGAGAAATGCCAAAGGGAAGGTTGGAAACGCATTCGTTAGGCCTCCTCTGGCCTCAAACAACTGCAGATGTAGAAGACCGAAAAGACCGCTGCTGGGACAAATCTCGTCGGCTGATAGTGAACCGTATGACTTTACAAGAGACATTGAATGCATCCACTCCATGATGCGCCCGAGAGCATCATTTTGGGCTGAAAGGCCGACTGTTGGAGTGGATTTTCTGGAGGCGGAGTAAGATGTAGCCGGCGTGAAGCACTTCGGCCCTTAAAGAACGTGTCCGCGATCAGTATCGGAGATGAAATATGGGATCGGGAGGATTACTGCGGTCCGCGACAAACAATACCTTGGTACTGTTTCGGCGGCTAACAAAAGTGCAGGGAGGGCGCTATAAGGCAAAATAGGTCCAGTGGTTCCTCCTTTTTTCCAGTGACTCCGCCTCCCAAGCGCCGCCCTTCAGTGAAAAACCAAGTTGTGGGACGAGAAAAGCATGAAAATCTAAGCGCCTTCGTTATTTGTACGGACGTAGGGTTGTATTGAGTCAGCTGAGCGCGCGGAGTGGTAAAACTGGAAATGTATTGCAAAAGTATTGTATTGCAAAAGTGCACGAAATGTTGGAAGAAAATAGCAACATTTTGAATTGGAAAAGCAAAACACAAACTCAAAAAGAACAAAGAAACATAATGATACGATGTGAACTGCTGAAAAATAAGGAATAGATAAAGGGAGTCTTTCATACGTGGCGCACACTTACTTTTCTGGGCTGGCGAGCCATTAACGTGGAACGCTCGTCCATAAGCGCTGTTTCCCCATCGTATGCACGTACAAACTAGGATTGTAATGGGGTCCTATTTAGGACATTGGGCATGTTTTCTGCTTTTTCCTTCACTATTGTTTTACTCTAAACCTTGTCCTTTTTATGCGAAGCCCAAATTCACTATCTAAGATGGCGAATGAGCGCGGGCTTTGTCCTTTAAGTCCTTTACCGACAACTTTCCGCCGCGAAAATGGCACAGAGTAGTCCACTCCAGCCCGCTTGCGTGTGCGTCTCGTTGTCATACCTATCGTCACGATTTTGGATCCTTGGCAGTTCCCCAGTAGATAAAGGACAAAATCTTCGCCGTTGATACAATACAATACTTTTTGGGCATTCTAGTTCCATTCAGAGTCGTAGTGGCTCAGTGAATGCGGGCCTATACAATGCGGGATGTGGCCTGTACAGTGACTTACGAGACGCGGAAGCTGAGAAGGTTAGTGTTCTTATCTCCCAGAACTGTGGCTCAACTACCATCCCAGAAGACTTCGTCAGCTGGGGCAAGAGTCGTTCGGATTTCCGCCTGGGGGCGGGCGGTGATGGCCGTGCACTTGCATGAACATTCCGCCTCTACCAGTAGATTAATAATGAAGTGTTCCCCATGGTAGGTATACATTGCAAAGTGGCCTAATTTCTGAAATCAAATTGTTCCGTCTTGGCATTGGAATGTACCAGATTTACATTTTCAGATCACGTCGCGAATAAAACAGAGGTCGGATCCGGAATGACTTCAGTGAGCACTACCAGTCACGTTTCACCGTTCCAGTCGAGCACAAGAGTTTCACAGTCAACAACAGTTCTGTCTACATCAGCGGCTACAGGGTTCTCGTCAACAACCACACCAACAGAAATCGTTACTTCGTCGGCGACGACTTCAGAATCTACGCTCCCACCTACAACAACAACAACTACAGCTACTATTACTACTACTGCCACTGTGCCTACCGCCAAACCATTCCTACTACGTTCACTACGTCTTTTACGCCTACTTCAACAAGTTTACAAAACAGCACTACTACCCCAGCATTACCTCTACCATCAGGGACTGTTGCTGGGCATACATCAGCAGCTCAAACGGTGGCTTCGCTCACGAGTACTGCTATGGGAACAGCGACCACAGCAGTGGAGCCCTTGCGGATGAAAGTGTGAGTTAATATGAAAGTTGATTTTCTCCACACTCTAGCACTCGCACTCGTGCGCATGAAGGGGCGTGTCAATAAGTAATATGAGTGTGCCACGGTGCCAAACTTATTTTTGCCGGTAAGCGGTCATGTGGCAGCAATTGATAGAAAACGAGTGACACGAACGATATGATACAGTCTTTTCACCTGCTCGCTTCAAAACCAATGGAGAGAGGTTTGGCACCACGCGAAATTAATCCCGCCTGATACGCCCCCTCTACGCAGCCTAGGCTACACAACATACGTGGTGTTGTAGTAGCGACATCTTTGTATAGGCGCTTGAGGAAACATTCCACTAAGGCCTTGAAAAGTGAACTGTAGGCCTTGATTCATCGGCCAGCTGCAAAAGAAAACGAAAAGCTGTACTGATTCCCCGAGGCAGACGCGTCGATTCTGCACAGCTTCTAGAAAACATATGGTTGCTCGAAGTGGCCTTGCGTTGGAGAGAGTTATGACTCAGTGATTCCATGCGAAATTCATTCGGGTCTGCTCCTTTCCACCAAGACGTCAAGGTTGCAACCTGAGCTTCCTTTTTCCTTCGCTGTCGTTGTCATGTGCCAATCATATGGATGCTACCTTTTCAGGGAAACGCAGGGCACATCGTTGTTGGGGAATCCCCAATAGGGGGGGGGTCGTATTTGGCCGCCAGGAGAGGGGGGTCGTATTTGGGCTGGGAAAAATTTATTTTGATAGTTGATTTTTCTCGCTTCACGGACGTTGTAAAGGGGGGGGGGTCGTACTTGGTCATTGTTGGGAGGGGGGGGTCGTATTTACGTTTTGGCGTCGTAGGAGTGGTGGTTTGATTTTCCTGTTTCATGCGTACTATATGTCCCCCCCCTACTCGACAGCAAAATTCTCGGGGAAAAGTAGGAAACTTTTCGAAATTTCGGAAAAAAGTGGCAGGAAGTTGGGGAAAATCTGAAAATTGGTAGAGGGGGGGTCGTATTGTCTCGCGACTTTTCCTGTTTCACATGTGCTATTTACCCCGCTCGACGGCTCGATTCGATGAGGAGGAACAGAGGGCCGGAGGAGGGGGGGGGTCGTGCCAAACCCCCCTCCGTTAAAAAAAAGGGGGGGGGCCGCACAGACTCCACCTCAATCCCTAACCAATGATGTGCCCTGGAGGAACGGGGACAGGCAGTTGAGGATGGTGCCATGCTTACAATGTAGAGCCCATGCGTTTCCGTTGCTAAGCTTTGCATCGCGAAACCTTTGCCACTACTCCTTGAGAACTGTTTTCCCATACTCACGACGCCGATTACTGATCTTGTTTGATTGTGAAGTGTGTCTTTAAATTTGAGAGGGAACCTGATCACTAATGACCGACTAGCTAGAAAGAGATCAAAGGGATGAGCGGAATCACACGTGCTTAATTATGAGATCATGGTGACTTTCCACAGAGAGGAACAAACCGACGACGATGACAGCAGTGTTGCTGCAATCATTGTGGCGGTAGCAGTGGTATTTGTGATAATGGCCGCAGTAGGCCTCGTTGTTGGCATACTGATGGAAAAGAAAAGAAGAAAAGAAAAGATGAAATATTTCAAAGAAGCTCTGAAAGAGGAGGCTCGCGACAGCAAAAGACGAGAAAGGAAGAGGAAAATGGTAAGGATTGTTTTGTTAAAAGTTCTTGGAGAGCCTGTTAACCGGACCAAGTTTTAATCTGGACGAAAAGACCAGCAACATCTCAAACTGGTTGTTCTGAAAAATATACAAAACTTCTTCAGGCTCTTCAGGTTGCCTTCTTACTGCGGCAGCTAAAAAACCGCCAGCATTTCGAGCGTCCCGCAGCACAGCGAAGAAAAGTATAGATATCAGTGTCCACTAGCATGTCCTAGCATCTGCCAGCGTGCACCAGCGGCTACTAGCCTCTGGGAAAGGAGAGTGTGGCACGATGGGAGCAGACAGCTAGTAGAGCATGGGGAAGTGGGAGGGTGGCAGACTGCTGGTAAAAAACGCTAGGAACGTACCCTCCTGTCGCTATGCTCTCCTCTCCCAGACGCTGGTAGACGCTGGAAGACGCTGACAGACGCTAGATCAACAACTTACCTAGTCGCTGACGCTGCAGGACGGTCACAAAGCTACTGGTGGCCGTTAGACGCCGTTGCAACTTTGAACGCAGCCTTAGTTGCTGATCATTGTAAGGGGAAGGACGGGCGACTCCGTCGTGATCTAATGAGGCTCTCACGTAGCGAGGCGGTGTAGGTGTGCTCTCGCTTATGGCATGACCTTCAAAGCAACAATGGAATGGGCCCTCGATAATTTCTAACGAGCCATGAGAAACACGACCTGTCTCATAGGTTGCGGCGTCGCAGGCCACGCTCACCACTGTGGGCAACCCACGATACAGTGGCCACACTGCAAGTGTGTTTCAAAAGGCTTTGGCCCACGGGTGCATTATTTTTGTAGAAAACTAAAGTAATTCCGCAGAAGTATTGCTCAGAAGTAACGACGGGAGGACAGCGCTACCTCTCGAAGTGGTTGCCGTCTACGTCACGTTAGCGAAGTCTTCCGGGGACGCGTTGACCGTGTTGGGCAGATAGTTGGCTCATAGACATCTAATGGGCGCAGCACAGAGATTACTTTCCAACATGCTCTATACAGATTGATCATGTGCATCAGATCAAAGATCCCGCAAGGAGTGGTCCGTCGTCATAATGGATCTGTGGGGAAAAGGCCGATTCTTTCTTTCTGAAGGGTGTTTGGCGTCAAAATGAGCTGGGTTCAAAGGAGTTCAAATCAGTCGTTACTATTCATGATGGCCGTCTGCCTTGGAACTTCGGCACTTCTACTGGATAGTGTCCTATTTTGTGCCTAACTTGTTACCGGGGTATACTTTAGCTGAGCCTAACGTTTCAGCAAGATCGCCTTGTTCAAAGGTGGTATTAAACCAGCTCCTCGCATTTCATGTACTGCTTATTGTGCTCGACGCAGTACATCTTTTGATAAGAGCAGTGTGATTCTCCCACGAGGACGTTCCTTCCCTTCCCTACCCACTGGCTACCGAAGCCTTCCATCGTAGCAACCTATTAGACACAAAGTCGAACACAGTAATACTACTCTGTTATGCTTCGTATAACAGCCACCGGAGGACTTGAACTTTGTCGTAGTCTTCGATGTACTGGTTACAAGTCGGCACTCAGATGCGATCCCTGCTTGTACCCTACTGCAGGTACTTTCCTATCCACTCCTGTTTTCTTGTGCTCATTCGCTGACGTACCAAATAGAACTAGTTCCTCGAAGGCCGGTCGAGAGTAACGAAATCATGAGAGCCAGTAACTCCTCATTCCTTCAAGCAACACCACCCTACTTCCCGTTATATATGGAATTCTAAATCGCATATCGTTGCGACGCAGCACAACGACCAATCCGACGGTGAACGTGAGCGTCCGCAGTCCCCTCCATTAGGGAGGGATAGATCAACAAGGCGGAGGACAGCACGAGTACATTCGCGGAATGAAAGTACCTGGTGAATGCGCCGAAGGTGCCTATCGATTCGCTGTACACGGATATAGCTCATGCCCATGGAATACGTTTATATCAAGCTTTTTCAAGCAATGGAAGTGTACTAAAAAAGAGCGTCGTACGCCAGGCTTTTTCCCCAGTATCTCTGGAGCTAGTAGATGTGTCAATTTTCCCTCCAGTTCAGAGGGCGGTATTCCAAAATCTGTTTTTCCTTGCTTTGGAGTCAACGCGGAACGACTGCGCTAAGGGAGGGACTCTCCGCCATAAAGATCAGCAGAGTTCACTCAACTACTCACAACAACCGTCACTACCGCGCAAATATTTCGTTTCCTTGGGAGTTGACTAACTACTACATCTCCTAGTTTCAGAATCGCCGCCTTCTACGGCCTCTCTTCTTTCTTTCTGTTCACAAACTTTCCATGTTTCCAATTGGGCATGTCGTTTCCTTTCTCCTCGTGTTACTACGCCCAGTAACACAACGAGAAAGGAGACTGCGCGTAACTCATCTCTCATGATTTTAATCCTGATCGATACTGATCACAATACCTTCCTTCTTTCAGAGGAGAGCGAAGAAAAAGAAGGCTCGGTCCAGGAAAAAGAAGACAGCAAAGCAAAAAGCAGGAGTGCGTCACAATGCTCTTCATTACCACTTCAGTGCCCATGACAGTGGGAGCCTTTTAGGTTCAGAAAGCGTTGGAGGACTACCTCTACAGCCAGATGACGACGACGACCACAATGGAAGATTCTGAGAAGTACTCAGAAATGCCATCGGAAAAACCATCGCAGACAAGCAGCAACATTCCGAGTGACGCTTCAACATCGTCCGCTTCAGCACCAAATGTTCCTGGAGAGCAAAAGGGTGTGAGCAAGTAGTGCTAGCAGAGATAGTCAATGAGCGACATGAGAATGCGTTAAAACGAAGTAGTTATGCATTTCAAGCAATTCATTAACAATTGTTTCATTAGTAGCTGGGACTTCTTCATGTTGTGCTGAAGTTATGAACATAGTAAAGTTGATATTGAATAAGGTGTTGTTGTTGATGACGAAAATTCGATTGCTTTGTATGACCGAGTGGCCAGGATGGTGATAGCGATTTACTAAGCACGATCACATATTCTCAGGACAGTCCCCTTCAAAGAGAATCATCATGCTATGAAGGGGAGGGGGAGGGGCGGGGGCGGCAAAAAAAGACATTTCGGCCGAGTCACATATCAGCAAAGTTTTCGCAGCCCAGAACCCAAGATGTTTCTCGACAAGCAGAGGCAGGCTCTTGCCCATCACCTGCATGTACGCCAAAATATGAAGTCATCACCAATCGCAGCCTACCTGGAGAAGGCTTCTGGATCGCTATCATCTCAAGTGCAACCGCTTGCTGTGAAGTACAAAGTAGTAGGTACTACACCCTTTTACTTTTCGTTCATCATAACTGAAAGTTTGAAAGTAAAAAAAAATATTGATCACGTAAAGTGCCACATCATTCGGGTTTTCGTTCTTCTCAATTTTCCCTTAGATTTTCTGTTTGCAGGCGGAACTACATCGCCCCACCACACCCGCACTCTCCGCTCGCGTCAACATCGGATTAATATAGTAGGACAGAGGGATGAGTTCATTTTCTATTGTTATCAGAAGTGATGGCTCAAGAAAAAGTTTGCACACGAGCTTTCAATACTTGAAAGTATAATGGTAAAACATGTAGTGAGAATGGCCCACTATCCTTTCTTATCAATTGATAAGAATACCTGCCACCCGTCATCAATGTCCCTGTCACTAAAGCTTTTTGATTTGCATAGTGTAAAGACTCCAGCACTTTGACTGAAGAGCAACGGCAACGTTCCGTATCAGCTGTTATCGCTTCCTATTACCCGCTGTCGCCGCCCCACCTACCTCTATATACCATTTGCTGGAGTCAACGCCTCGGTGATGCTGTGTCCTACGTTATAAGTATGCTGACCTTCCCTTTCTAGCAGTCCTTATCAAATCTTATCGGCTCCTAGAAATTACGACCCACAGTTGCTGTGACCGCTGTATTCAGTGACCATGTTGACCATATCTGCTGAAGGCCCTTATCGAACCTTATCAGCTGCTAAAAGGTTTAGACCTACAAACAATCTTACCGTCTCATACCCAAAATCATATCTTGAAACTGACGTCCCACTGCTGTTGCGGCCCGCAGTATGGATTGGGTGACCAATTCCTTTGGACGCCCCTTGTCAGATCTTATCAGCTGTTAACACTTCCACCCACCAATGGTGTTCCCGTCACACCCCCCCCTCCATCACTTCCTGAACAACATTTTCTGCCTCAGACGATGGCTGATGAATTCGTAGCAAACACACAGACACACTATTAGCGGATCAATCCTACTAGCAGTCGGAATCACCCGGCTCCCGTCGGTAAGTCAATTGCCTTCTTTTGTCACGGCCCGGCTTCGCGGGCCGGCCTGGCTTCGCCAGGCACTCTTTCCTTAGGCGAGGTAGAGTGTGCAAAATACGCCTAACCGTCACAGTGCATTTTCCAGCAAAATGTAGAAAAATAATTGAAAATAGCTCGAGCAATGGGTTAAAGTTGAATCTGGCCAGAGGATCGTGCAACATACAGCGCTTTGTTACTTCCGAAATTCTAATGACATCAAAAGAAAGAGCCTGACGCCCCTTATCCAATCTTATCAGATGCTGGCAGTTTTTGTCACCAACCTAGTGTTCCTTTCCTAAACCCTACATCGTATCTTGGAACCAACCTCCTACTGTTGCTGTGACTCGCGTGATGGACTCAGTGACCATACCCTTCTAACATCTCGAATCTTATCAGCAGCTGACAGTTCTTGTCATCCACCAATAATGTTCCTGTCCCATACCCTGAATCATATGTTGGAATCAACACCTGGCGAGTTCCATTCTGAGGCCTCTTATCAGATCTTATCAACTGATATCACTTCCTGTCACCCACCAATAGTGTTCCCGTCACACCCTCTACGTCACTTCTTGGAACCAATATCTCGCTGCTACTGGGACCGGCGCTATGAATTTCGTGTCAAAGAGGAGACGCACACGCACGGACATAGTCGATTATATATGGTAGAATTGTAACCGTTGTCCCAATGTAGCGCTGAAATCTATCCTTTTGTCCATTCTTTTCTCGGAGTTAGTACCAAAAATCTCCATAACCCTCACACGAACTCTCGGGTTGTTGATGGAAGATAATCATGGTCATAGTGATAAAGTTAGTTGCTGCAGTTCATGGCAACTGAGTAAACAACCGTCATGCATCTGAACTCCAGTTGCTTTAGCGGCCGTACATGATGTCGATAGCGGTAAGAGCATAGGAGTGAGTTGTGTACGAACTACTGAGAGCCTGATACCTGTCATATCAATCGCATTGTGGCAGTAAGCGGTGTTGCGGATTCCCGCATGATGACGCTTTCAACCCTTATCAGTTGCTGTCACTTAGTGTCACCCGTCAGTGGGTTCCCGCCCTCCTCCCCCTATACCACTTCTTTGAACCAAGGTCCCACAGACCCTGCAACCTGCCCTACAAAGTTGGTGACCCTCCGCATCTAAGGCCCCTTATCGAATCTTATCAGATGTTATCAGCTTCCACACACCAATCATGTCCACTTCCCTTACCCTATACCACATCTTGAAATCAAGGTCCCACGGTCGCTGCAACCTGCGCTAAGAATTTGGTGACACCCGCGTCTAGGGTCCCTTATCGGATCTTATCAGATGTTATCAGCTCCTGTCAGCCACCACCCTACCGTGTATATCACTTCTTGAAATCACGGTCCCGCAGCTGCTGCAACTTGCCACGAATTCGGTCACCCTCCCTTCTAAGGCCCCTTATCGAATCTTATCAGATGTTATCAGCTCCTGTCAGCCACCACCCTACCGTGTATATCACTTCTTGAAATCACGGTCCCGCAGCTGCTGCAACTTGCCACGAATTCGGTCACCCTTCCCTTCTAAGGCCCCTTATCGAATCTTATCAGGTGTTATCACCTCCTGTCAGCAACCACCCTACCGTGTACATCCCTTCTTGAAATCACGGTCCCGCAGCTGCTGCAACTTACGAACTCGGTCACCCTTCCCTTCTAAGGCCTCTTATCGAATCTTATCATATCTTATCAC